TTCCCCCAGTGTGTGTTCTTTGCACCCTTGTTGAGGATCAGTTCATCATAAATGTGTGCACTGTATTATGTGAGCAGTGTATTACGTTCCATTGGTCTACATGTCTGCCTGTTTAAATTACTGTAAATTTGTAATATGTTTTGAAGTCATGAAGTGTGAGGCCTCTAGTTTTGTTCTTCTTTCTTAAGACTGTCTAGGATATCTGGGATCCTTTGTGGTTCTATATGCATTTTAGGCATGTCTTTCCATTTATTTATGTCTTCTTTAATTATTTCAGCGATTTTTCATAGTTTTCAGTGTATAAGTTTTTCCCTACTCCTTGGTTAAGTTGTTCCTAAATATTCTAACTTTCCTGATGTATTATAAATTAGATTTTCTTAATTTCTCTTTTTGGAGTGTTTGTTAGTGTACAGAAATGCAACTGATTTTTATGTGCTGATTTTGTATCCTGCACCTTTGCTGAATTTATTAATTCTAACAAGGTTTTTGTGGAAACTGCAGATTTTTCTATGTATAAGATCATGTTATCTGTGAACTTACATGGAGATGGACGCTTTTGCTTTTTCCTGCCAAACTGCTCTAGCTAGGGCTTCCAGTGTTATGTAGCATGGAAGTAATGAGAGTGATGTCCTTGCTTTGTTTCCGATCTTAGTAAAAAAAAAAAAGCTTTTCAGTGTGTATGTTTTTTTTTTTTTTTGAGATAGAGTCTCACTCTGTCACCCAGGCTGGAGTGCAGTGGCACAATCTCCGCTCATCGCAACCGCAACCTCCACCTCCCTGGTTCAAGTGATTCTCCTGTCTCAGTCTCCCAAGTAGCTGGGATTACAGGCGCGTAACCATACCCAGCTAAATTTTTGTATTTTTAGTAGAGACAGAGCTTCACCATGTTGGCCAGGCTGGTCTTGAACTTCTGAATTCACGTGATCCGCCTGCCTCGGTGTCCCACAGTGCCAGGATGACAGGTGGGAGCCACCATGCCTGGACAGTGTGTTCTTTAGTTCTCATATTTTGTGAATTTTCTTGCTGTTTGTGATTTCTAAGTTTATCACCTTGTAGCTGGAAAAGATACTTGGTATGATTTTGATTTTAAATTTGTTAAAACCTGTATTATGATCTAATATTTTCTGTTCTAGAAAATGTTCCATGTGCAATAGAGGAGAAAATGTGTTTTCTGTTCCTGTTGGCTAGAATGTTTTGTATGTGTCTGTTAGGTCTATAATTTTATTCAAGTCAGCTGTTTCCTTACTAATGTTCTGCCTGGTGGTGCTAACAATGATTGGAAGTGAGGTACTGCAATCTCCTACTATTTTTGTGTTATTTTTCCCTTCGGTTGTCAATATTTGCTTCACATATTTGGGTGCGCCGATGCTGGGTGCATATGGATGCTCTCTAACAATGGTTTAATTTACACTTTTTGACTTTACTGTGGTGTGAATGTGATACACATTCAGTAGAAACTGTAATTCAAGTACCCATACAATCATTCTCTTTTTCACTTTCAGTACAGTATTTAATAAATTACATGAGATACTCATAATTTTATTCTAAAATAGGCTTCCTGTGAGACGATTTTCCTAAATCGTAGGCTAATCTAAGTGCTCAGGCTTTTGTTTTCCTTTTTTCAGGAGCTTGCAAGCTCTTGCTTCTTCTGGTGCCTGTCTGAGGTACCACAGGCCCTCTGGAGCTGCTGTAAGCTTCCCAGCTCTTTTTTGGCCTCAGCAGCTCCAAAGCATCTAGAGTACGTTGGGTTCTGCCAGCACTGAGTTGGGTGAGACAGAAGCCAGTCCCTCAGGCAGCCCCTTGAGAACTCCAAATGCTGGACACATGCTCTACTCTTCCCCTGGACCCAAAAAGCAGCCTTCTAGGTACACTGGACTCTGCCTACTGTACTGTGGGTCCTCTGGGGCAGTACAAGCCACCCAGCACCCAGCTTTCTCTTCTTCTCCGCAGCCCCCAGGGACCTAGACCATGCCAGGTCCCATCAGTGCTCCATTGAGTGAGAAAGAAACCAGAGTCTTGGGTGGGCTCCAGAAAACCTAGAATGCTGGACTCACGCTCCAACTCCTTCCCTCGAAAGAGAAGCAGGGAGAGGGCAATGAGGAGTCAGTATGTGCTAGTTCCACCATCCCATTTGTCCTCAGTGGTCCCCAACCTGTACCTTGAGCAGCCTCCTTAGAGGTCTGAATATCAGATATATGTTCCAGTCTTCTTTTTCCTCCCCATAAAGATGCCAGGAGTTGGGAGTTCCCTCCCAATCACACGGTGCTGTGCCAGGGGGAGGAGCTCTGGAGAGCCAGCACCACAAATTCCCCAGTCTTTGATGCAACTGGTTTTTGGATTTCTCACAGAGAGAAATGGTCCTTCTATTGTTGTTGAACTGGTATCTCTATGGGAAAAAGAGGGTCTGGGGCTTTCTCTTCTGTCATCTTGACATTATCCCATATGACATGCCTTTATGGTTTTTTCTGCAAGTGATCTAACTACTCACATGTTTCACTGGCCACAAGAAGATACATGGCTACCTCTAAGTTCAGCAGGCCATGTATATTCCTCCCACAGATAGAAACTAAAATATATGTGGTGTTCCTATTTGGGATGTTAAGAGCCCCTGGGAAGCTCTCATCAACATTCCAAGTTGACGCTCACTAGATGCTATTCCAGACTCATGTGTGCCCTCAGGCTTTTATTTTTTAGACTCTTTTCTTTTAAAGACAGGGTCTTACTCGGTTGTCCAGGCTGGAGTGCAGTGGCACAATCATGGCTCACTGCAGCCTCAACCTCCTGGGCTCAAGTGATTCTCCTGCTTCAGTCTCTTAAGTAGCTAGGACTATGGGCACACACCACCGCTTCCAGCTGAGTTTTAAAATTTGTTTTGTAGAGACAGGGTCTCACTATGTCGCTCAGGCTGGTCTCGAACTCCTGGTCTCCTCAGTGATCTGCCCGCCTCAGCCTCTCGAAGTGCTGGGATTACAGGCATGAGCCACTGGGCAACAAATGCAGCTGCTTTTAAATGTCTTCAGGATGGGGGTGGTGGCTCACGCCTGTAATACCAGCACTTTGGGAGGCTGAGGCGGGTAGATCACTGGAGGCCGGGGGAGTTCAGGACCAGCTTGGCCAACATGGTAAAACTTCATCTCTACTAAAAATATAAAAATGAGTTGGGCATGGTGGCACATGCCTGTGATCCCAGCTACTTGGGAGGCTGAGGCAGAAGAACTGCTTGAAGCCAGGAGGCGGAGGTTGCAGCGAGCTGAGATCATGCCACTGCACTCCAGCATGGACGACAGAGTGTGAGACCCTGTCTCAAAATTAAAAAAAAAAAAAATGTCCTGAGAGAATAATGGTCTCTCCTCTTCTTTGACCTTCCCAGTTGTACATAAGGACTTTCACTGGGAGACCTTATTTGAAACCTTACTAGGAAATGTAGTTCCCAGCTCCTTCTAAGCAACTCATGAAGACCTAAGAGGCGGTATAGTGCTGTACATTTCTCACCTGGACTACTCAATAGGCAAGTAGACTTCCCTGATATTTTACCTCTCCCCACCTCAGGACAGTGTGCTGCATGGGCCTGCCCCTGCTCAGCTTATGAGCCTCCTTCACACTCCTAGCACCAGTAAGTGTCCACACTGCTGCCACTCCTGGGCATTTCTCCATCTCCACTCCACCCCCACCCTTTCCATCCTTTGGCTACTTCCTCCCTATCTGCTGTGTCTTAGCGCAGGCATCATCTCCCCAGGCAGTCCAGCACCTGACCCACTGGAAGCACACAGGGAGAGGCCAGCACTCTGCTTTCTTATTTTTAATTTTTTTTGAGACGGAGTCTCGCTCTGTTGCCCAGGCTGGAGTGCAGTGGCCGGATCTCAGCTCACTGCAAGCTCTGCCTCCCAGGTTTACGCCATTCTCCTGCCTCAGCCTCCCGAGTAGCTGGGACTACAGGAGCCCGCCAGCTCGCCCGGCTAGTTTTTTTGTATTTTTTAGTAGAGACGGGGTTTCACCGTGTTAGCCAGGATGGTCTCGATCTCCTGACCTTGTGATCCGCCCGTCTCAGCCTCCCAAAGTGCTGGGATTACAGGCTTGAGCCACCGCGCCTGGCCTAGCACTCTGCTTTCTTAGAGTTGCAAGATGCCAGTGACTGTTGGGACAATTGTTATAGCAACAGCCTGGGGTGCGAACATATAAAATGGCCAGAAATATTAATGCTGAAAACAAAATAAATAAAGTTTTGATCCATTAGTTTAGTTTCTTCTTCCTTTTCTAATCTCTACCTTAATTTCTTTACTTTCCCCAAGGCAAAGATGTTGCAGTGTTCAACTCTAATCACCCAATTTTAGAAAAATGGCTTAGAACGTATTTGTCTAGGTGGATGCTAATATTCACTAAAAACTCTAAGTGGCTTCTAAATAGTTGACAAATTTTAAGACACTCTTAGTTCAGAGTAGGCGCCAAGCTAAAGGGAAGAAAGATCTGCAACAGTAATGCGCCTAGACAGCTCTGTTCCCACCTAATACAGTCAGTTCTTATGAGGAGAAACAGTCAAATGAATAACCTACCAGATGTGATGGAGATGCCACTATGATGCCCAGTTCTTTAATCAAAGAAGCATCATCTGGACTTTGAAAATGGCAAAAGGTGTGTGTGTTTGTGCAGGGAGGGGTAGCAGGGGTTATTTGAGCACAGGTGGTGAAAAGAGCAAGCAAGAAAAATGTTGACACAGTGGAAGAAAAACTAAACACTTCCCACTTTACATTACAGTGTCTGTCCTAAAGATGATGATATAAAACAGCAATCCAGAGCTTTGTAACTGGAGTGACACGAGTGGCTGCCATCTCAGTAACCATGTCAACCGTTACTCACAAAGTACTCATCCTCATTTGCTTATGAAAAGGAAAGCACTCAGATCCTTCTTATACATCAGCAGTCAGGTAAACAGCAGGTATCTGGGCCATGAGGGTAGTCTATAATACCATAATATACATCTAGAAAAAAATTTGCCTCCCTACCTTTCGGCAACGAGGATTAGGACAGCTGAACCTCTTCACATCACTGTCCAACAGAGCAGGAAAGCTACAGGAGGGGCACCTACAGTCAGAACAGCAGAAGTGACATTACTTCCAACATTAAAGACTGACTTGGTTCCAGCTCCATGTGACTGTTCATATGAAGATGGAGTTTTGAGCTGGACATTCACATCCCCTTTATACTTGTTAGTTTTCCTGAAAACACAGATTGAGCCTCTTCTTTGTGCTGGCTCTTATCAGGAAACATAATCACCACTTGCGGTCCTGACTCAATATAAACCACTCAATAAACACATCTCAATCTCAATGAGAACTCCTTGCATATACTGATTTCCCTCCAGCCCAGGGCACCATGATTGTGTCTACGGGCCAGAAGATCGGGGGTGCCAAGATATGTAGACAGAAGTCTGAGCTGCAGGCCGGGCGTGGTGGCTCACACCTGTAGTCCCAGCACTTTGGGAGGCCGAGGTGGGTGGATCACTTGAGGTCAGGAGTTGGAGACCAGCCTGGCCAACAAGGCAAAACCCCGTCTCTACTAAAAAGACAAAAAAAAGCTGGACGTGGAGGCGCACACCTGTAATCCAGGCTACTCGGGAGGCTGAGGCATGAGAATAGATTGAACTCGGGAGGCGGAGGTTGTAGTGAGCTGAGATTGTGCCACTGCACTCCAGCACTCCATAACTGGGTGACAGAGTGAGATTCCATCTCAAAAAATAAAAAGAAGTAGTTTGAACTGCAGATTTTTCCATTAATAGAATTACTGGTTACTCAATGGTTTTGAGGTGTAAAAAATAAAAATAAATAAGTAAAATTAATGATAATCTTATTTCTTAGCAAGAAATGCCAAAAAACCTGGAAGATATACTCAATTTTCATCATCTGATGCAAGTGCCCAGGTAGTTTTCACAATGGGGAAAGGTTGGCAGATGGCACGCTCTGCCTGAGAACAAACCTGACAAGCTCGTCAGCGTAGGCTGCTGCAACCTCCTCCTCGGCTTTTCGTTCATAGTACTTATATAGGATGGTCTGGGGGAGCACCTTCTCCAGCTCACTGGTTGGGAACGAACACGTGCAGCTGCCTTCCATGCAGCTGAGCTCCGACTAGAAAAAGGCGAACCGGCAAAAAAGAAAAAAACCAACACCATTTATAGAAAAATAAAAAGTGTCAGTGGTTAAAAACATAGATCCTGAGACAGTAGAGCAAAGATCTCTCTGCCTGTTTGTCTCTGAGAAATCACAATTAAATCACGGAAACCATGAAACAAAAATTCAGTACATTTTTGATATCACTAGAGGACCTCTATCAGCCCAAATCACAATCCACAGAGATTGAAAGTGGAGCAAGGGTAAATGGCTTAGCGGACCAGAGAGAGAAGCCCATAACTTAGGGTCTGAAAAGGAGATGTTGGGGAGAAGTTGGTCCCCTCTACAGATATTAGAAAGCTGGAGACCCTCTGGAAAGCAGAGCTGAGTGGTGGGGAGGGGTGGGGACTCAAAGTAATAAACTGAAAACAGGGAGATGGGTGGAGCCTGTAGTTCCTACCCCCTTCAGAAGGAACTGGCTGACTCCGAGAGAAATGAGGAAGATCTGAACAGCTGGACCACAAGGCTCTGGCCTGGGAACCAGTCACAGAGAAGAGCAGAGCTGAGGGGGCCCGAAGTCAGAGTCTGAAATGAAGTCTGCATAATGAACAGAGAATTCTCCAGCCCCTTCCTCCCACTCAGTTTCAGAATTTTGGAAAATGGACTCACACACACGAGGTAGGAGGCAGACTGAATCACCCCAGGGAAGAGACTTAAGGGCCATTCAGGTTCATAATATAAAAGTTAACTGGCTCCTAGGCATGTAGAGTCAAACCCACTGCTCTATAAGCCCCACTAGTCACACAGCTTTCCAACAGCTCTTTAACATGAACAAAAAGTGTCAGACAGGAGGAATGCGTCCCACATGAATGAAAGACAGACACCAAAGAAAACAAATGGAAAAAGACAACATCTTAAAAATAGCCAAAATTTATGAGGCATTTACCATGTGTCAAAGAGTAAGTTTATTAAATTCATGACCTCATTTAGCTTTCAAAACAATACTATGATTATTTCCATTTTACAGAAGAAGAAACTGAGGTTTAAGGCATTTAATTTGCTCAAGATCACAGAACTGGTAACTGGTATGGCTGACGGGGGGCATGGCCCAATGCATTCTGCTTGACTCCAAATGTCAAGCTCTTTGAAAAAACAGAAACTTTATTTATTTATTTATTTTTCTGAGACAGAGTCTCACCATCACCAAGGCTGGAGTGCAGTGGTGCGATCTTGGCTCACTCAGCCTCCTGAGTAGCTGGATTACAGGCACCCACCACCACACCTGGCTAATTTTTGTATTTTTAGCAGAGATGGGTTTTCACCATGTTGGCCAGGCTGGTCTCAAACTCCTGACCTCAGGTAATCCACCTGTCTTGGCCTCCTAAAGTGCTAGGATTACAGGCATGAGCCACTGTGCCCAGGCAAAAAGTCATCTTCTTAATCACTGTGTTAACTTTATATTGCTGCTGGAACAAAATACCACAAACTTAGCGGTGTAAAACAATGTAAAATTCCCATACTGTGTTTGTTATGGTGATGTCCAGAGAAACTGACTTTGGAGAGAGAAATATGATCTTGTGTAAAGTAAGTTATGTTATTTTAACATATATTTAATCCAATAGGCTGCAAGGTTCTCTCTTTCGGAGGTAACCTTCCCTCTGATTATGAATAAGAAGATGAGTGAAGCCGGTACTCCTCTGTAGCTAGGCATGGGGGCGTGGAAGAATTCTACTGCTCCCTGAAAAGAAATCTGCTGTGCTTAGAGAACCCACATAATCACACACAACAGGTAATGCCCATAAGCACACCAGCAGAATTCCACCTCACCCTGAAAGAGGCACTTACACTTGTCTATCAACATGGTCTCCTTAGACTCCAGGAATGTGTCCTATATACATGGGACATATTACACAGTTCTTACCTTTCCAGATCCAAAGACTGCCTCTTGGGCATATCTGATGAGACACTCTTTGCAGAACAAGTGAGCATCTGCGCACTGCGTCAGCTCCTCGAATGGAAATTCCCCATAGCAGCAGCGACACTCAATCAGTTGGCCATCCTGCAGGCAGTCAAGAAACACACATGAAATGTCCCGCACTTAAGCAGAGGGAGAGCCTTGTCTCCCATCCTCATCTCTCTCCCATCCCCCAAACAAATTCTGAGGTAAAAAGCAACCCATTTTAGAGGCCATAAGACAATGATATGCTGTTTCGTGCTATATAAATTCAGCTCAAGATACTAGCACAATAGTAATCCATACCTAAACCAGCGACGTTTTCATGGGTTTTGTCTGGTATTCTTTAGAGTAATTCTTTGTATAAAGTTATCATATTCAATCCCATGGTGCAAAGGGACTAGAACATCTGTACTCAGATGCTAACGTGATTATAAAAAGCAAGGATAAGGAACACAAGAGATATTAACCAAAATGCTTTCAAAAGTTGAATTTTGTTCTTGTCATAAGGACTGGTCGTATCCAAGTCTGAGCTTTATTTTAAGGGACTATTGAAGCTAATTAAAGCAGCAATCTCAAGTAATGTACCAAGCTACTGACTCCTTTTATTAACTATAGCAACTGATCCAATCACCAACTCATTCTTTTTTTTTTTTTTTTTGAGACAGAGTCTCACTCTATCGCTCAGGCTGGAGGCGCAATCTCGGCTCACTGCAACCTCCACCTCCCAGGTTCAAGCGATTCTCTTGCTTCAGCCTCCTGAGTAGCAGGGAATTACAAGCGCCCACCACTACGCCCAGCTAATTTTTTGTATTTTTGGTAGAGACGGGGTTTCACCATGTTGGCCAGGCTGGTCTCGAACTCCTGACCTTGTGATTTGCTCACCCTGGCCTCCCAAAGTGCTGGGATTACAGGTGTGAGCCACCGCATCCAGTGCCATTCTTTTATTTATTTATTTTTAATTTTTGTTAGAAATGGGGTGTTGCTATGTTGACCAGGTTGGTCTCAAACTCCCGGGCTCAAGCAATCCTCCCATCTCAGCCTCTCAAAGTGCTGAGATTACATGCATGAGCCATGATGCCTGGCCACCAGCCCATTCTTAATACCACATTAGAAAAGGTCACTAGCCGGGCGTAGTGGTTCACACCTGTTCCCAGCACTTTGGGAGGCTGACATGGATGGATCACCTAAGGTTAGGAGTTTGAGACAGCCTGGCCAACATGGTGAAACCCCGTCTCTACCAAAAATACAAAAATTAGCTGGACATGGTGGCACATGCCTGTAGTTCCAGGTACTCGGGAGGCTGAGACAGGAGAATCGCTTGAACGCAGGAGGCAGAGGTTGCAGTGCACTTCAGCCTTGGTGGCAGAGCAAGACTCCGTTTGAAAAAATAAATAAATAAATAAATAAAGAAAAGCTCACTGTATGAGGGCGGCAGACACCATACAGAAACCCATCTTATCCTGAGGTTAGACATATCTCTTTCTTTTAACTTTAAAGTGATATCTAAGTTGTAAACTTTCCTTTATGAGTCTATCTAATGAACGTCAGGTAATGATTTTTAATGGGAACATCTATTATCTCCCCTTCAATTCTGATTCAGTGTGGTATAAGAGTGACTATACTAGATCATGTATCTGACTATAACTTGGCTGAACTGCAAACTCAGCAAATCAACAGGAGGTTATCCAAAAACAAATTTGCCATCAAAAATGCTGACAAAACATGGTAAGAGAAAACAGCCCATGAAAATGCCCAGAAATAAGGTGAGATTTCAAACTACCTTTTGATACTGTTCTTCATTCATCTGCAGGGCAAGCAAAAAGTCTTCATGCTGAAGAACAAAAAAAGCACACACTCAGACACAAATTCAGTAAAAATGACACTAACCATTTAGTATTCATTTCCATAAACATAACTCCAGTATTGTGATCTCTTCAATTACACAGTTTAGCAGTTCAAAAAGTTACCTGTGAATAAATTGTAAGTGGATCAGAGAGCTAGAAAATACAGGACAATTTTTCTTAAGTATGACTCAAAATGTAGAATAAATAAGGGAAAAGGCTGACACACAAAACACTTTGAATAGCAAAGAATAGTATCAACAAAAACAAACTGAACAAATGAAAACTAAGTTTGGCTGGGTGGGATGGCTCATGCCTGTAATCGCAGCACTTTGGGAGGCTGAGGCAGGCAGATCACCTGAGATCAGGAGTTCGAGACCAGCCTGACCAACATGGAGAAAACCTGTCTCTACCAAAAATACAAAATTAGCTGGGTGTGGCGGCATGCGAATGTAATCCCAGCTATTTGGGAGGCTGAGGCAGGAAGATCACTTAAACTCGGGAAGCAGAGGTTGCAGTGACCTGAGATAGCACCATTGCACCCTAGTCTGGGCAACAAGAGTGAAACTCTGTCTCAAAAAACAAACAAAAACTGTTTGACAACAGACTTCGTTGGTGAGGCTGTGTGGCAGTGGGCACCCTCACACGTTACTGGTGAAAATGCAAAGCAGGACAACCACACTGGCGGGACACTGGCACAGAGTCATCAATGCCACTTCCAAGAGTCTAGCCCAAAGATGCACCTGGGCAGAAACAGGGAATGATGTATGCATAAACTTATCATGGCGCTATTTATAATCACGAAAACCTGGAAACAACCCTAAACGTCCATCAACAGGGGAATGACTGAATAAACTGTGGTATTACATAAAATGGTATACCAGCCAGTTTCAAAAAGGAAAGAGAAAAATCCCTAAGAATTGCCATAGAGTGATTGCCAGGATGCATGGTTAAACGAAAAATGCAGTCACAGAAGAGTTCTTCACCATTTGGGATTACATTAAATTATTTGTGAGACAGCATCTCACTCTGTCGCCCAGGCTGGAGTGCAGTGGTGTGATCCTGGCTCACTGCAGCCTCAACCTCCCAGACTCAAGAGATCCTCCCGCTTCAGCTTCCTGAGTAGCTGGGACTACAGGTGTGAGCTACTATGCCTGGAAAACTCTGCTACTATCTGGATAAGACAGACGGGTAAATAAAAATAGTATACATATTTGTTTTTCCATAAATAAGGAAAAATAAACCAAAGACTAACAACAATGGTTATATATAAACAAAGTAGGAGGCCAGGTACAGTGGCTCACGCCTATAATCCCAGCACTTTGAGAGACCAAGGTGGATGGATCCCTTAAGGACAGGAGTTTGAGACCAGCCTGGTCAACATGGTGAAACTCCGTCTCTACTAAAAATACAAAAATTAGCCAGGCATGGTGCTTGCGCCTATAATCCCAGCTACTCAGGAGGCTGAGGCAGGAGAATCCCTTGAACCCGGGAGTCAGAGGTTGCAGTGAGCCGAGACCCTGACACTGCACTCCAGCCTGGGTGACAGAGCAAGACTCTGTCTCAAAAAACAAACAAACAAAGGAAAGTGGGAGAAAGGGACAGGACAAAAGCTAGATTTTTCTGAATATTCCTTGTTTTATAGTTTTGATTTCAGAGCTAAATTTTTTTTTTACAAAATTAGATAAAAAAACAAAACCAATTCTCTAAAAGTTCAAAATAAACAGAAAGAAATAAACTTTTTTTCCCCCCCCCGAAATAGAGTCTTGCTTTGTTGCCCAGGCTGGAGTGCAGTGGCACGATTTTGGCTCACTGCAACCAACCCTGACCTTCCAGGTTCAAGCAATTCTCGTGCCTCAGCCTCCCAAGTAGCTGGGATTACAGGCAGCTACTTGGAGGGATTACATGCCCAGCTATTTTTTGTATTTTTAGTAGAGACAGAGTTTTGCCATGTTGGCCAGGCTGGTCTTGAACTCCTGGCCTCAACTGATCGCCTGCCTTGGCCTCCCAAAGTGCTGGGATTACATGCATAAGCCACCGTGCCTATAAACTTGTTTATCAACTTAATGGCATAAGCACCAAGACATATTTCAAGCGACTTTAAGATATTTTAATTTTATATTCTCAGATATAATCTGACAAGAATAATGTTATTAATGTCATTAAGAACCAAGACTTTTAGCATCAGAGAAAAGAAAATAAAGTTGGCAAGGCATAGTGGTGTAATCCTGTAACCCCAACAATTTGGTTGGCTAAGTTGGGAGGAAGGCTTGAGGCCAGAAGTTCAAGACCAGCCTGGACAACATGGGGAAACCCAGGCTCTACAAATAGAAAAAAAGTTAGCCAGGTGTGGTGGTGTACACCTGCAGTCCCAGATACTCAGGAGGCTGAGGTGGAAGGACTGCTTGAGCCCGGGAGATTAAGGCAGTAAGCCATGAATGTGCCATTGCACTCCAGCTTCGGTAACATATGGAGCTCCTCTGTCAAAAAAGAAAAGAAAAAAAAGCAAAGAAGGCACTTTGGAGAAATTGTTGAGTCCAGGTGAGAGAAAGCAGAAGTTGGAACGGGGTCATCTTGCTGTGCCCAGAAGCAAAGACACTGTCAGAGACTACAGGAGTCGGGTAAGAGAGACTAACTTGAAGGGGCAGCCATTAGTCAGAGACGGGACAATGTGAATATCACCAAGAATAAATGACAATGAACGGCATTCATCAATTTGCTAATACTTTAAATACTTATCTGATAAGATTGGTGAAATTAATGAATGTCATTCTATAACACATGGATTAAGATAATACATTCTAATTTCTGCTTAAAATCTAGAATTTTGGTCAAAAATAATCACTTCATTCATTTTTGAGAAAATGCCTGCCAAATACCTAATTTTGAACAATCACAGTTTTTCTGTCACTTTTTTCCAAGTAAAAAGTGGCCAATGTCTCAATTGCACAAGTGCTTTCCTCATACCTGGATATAAGACAAGCTTCATATCCTGGGATGTGGCGGAAGCACTTTATGAAGACTTCATTTTATTACACAGAATATTGAAAAGATGTTTTCAAGGGTCAAAATTTGGTAAAATAATTTTTACTGCTTTATCAAAGACATTTTTAGGTGAAACTGGTGTCTTAAAAATATAAGTTCATGGTGGTGAAGAAAACAAAGATTATGAGGATGGCTCTATACCACTGGTCTGATTCATGCCAAGGCACCACTGCTTTGCTTCTGCTGGTACAAATTCAATATGGTGAAAAAGCAAATACAGCTGACCTTGATCAACAGAGGTGTGAACTGTGGGGACCCACCTATGTGCTCATTTTCTTCTGCTGTTGCCACCCTGAGACAGCAAAACCAGCACACCCCTCCTCCTCAGCCTACTCAACGTGAAGACCATGAAGATAAAGACCTTCTCATGCTGACCCACACTACCATTTAATGAATACTAAATATATTTTCCTTATCATTTTCTTAATAACATTTTCTTTTCTCTAGCTTACCTTATTGTAAGAATACAGCATGTAATACACAAAACATACCAAACGTGTTCATTGACTGTTATGGGTAAGGCTTCCTGTCAACAGCAGGCTGTTCACAGTGAAGTTTTGGGGCAATCAAACATTATATGCAGACTTTCAACTGCACAGGGGGAAGCACTCCTAACTCTCATGTTGTTCAAGGGTCACTGTAATGTCTTAGTATAGTTATAAGAGGTTTGACTTCGTAGACCCCCGAGAGAGTCTTGGGAAACCCAGGGATCTCTGGGTCACACTTGGAGAGCCACTGGTTTAGAAGATACTTATTAAACAATCAATATATACATTCCAGCTGACTTGCACATTTGATACTGTATTTAGAAAAATTAAAAAGCGAAATGGAACTGAGGCTGGTGGAGGAGGTAAAATAGATACACTAAGCTCCAATTAAAATTTTCTAACATAAATCTGATTTATGAAACCACAAACATAAGTATTATGACAAAACCCAGGTTTTTTCTTTTTAAAAACTTTGCATATATCCAAATTCACCACTCTGAAGAAAAGTGAAATCTTAAAAGACAGTTTTGTACTAACTAAACCCTAAGAGCAAACCAGAATCCCAGAAACACACCCGAAGACCAGAGCACATCTTCCTACCTCCGCCATCTCTTTGATTTTCTGCTCATAGAACTCCTGCTCTTGTTGCACAGCTGGAAGGAGAGCACGCCGGTCATAGGACCTACAATGTCGTCGCTTATTTTCAAGAAAGAACATCCTCTTTTCTATTTTTATGTCACCTAGAAGATATACGACAATGCAAAAGCATGCAGACAACTGTGTGTTAGGAATCTGGGCCAGCCATGTCCATTCTTCCCGGCCTCATCCTCCCTCTTCTCTCTGGCGGTACGTTTCATGACTTCTCTATCACACTCTATCATTTGGGAAGACTGGGTTTCTTACCATTTGCCAACCTACCATCCATTTTTTGACCTTTCTGGTTCTTTCCCTCTCTTTATGCTCCAATTGGAAGGCATCTCCTACTCTGTCACTAGTGTACTATGTGATTATACCACAATTTATTATCTATTTCACTACTGAGGACATTTGGGTTTACTGTTTTGGGTTAATCCAAATAGTGCTGCTTACAGTCATGTGTTGGTGAATGTATGTCCGCAATTTAGCTGGGAACTGCTAGATCATTCCAGCTTTAGAAAATAATGCCAGTGTTCCAAAGTGGTTGGACCAGTTTACACCGTTCCTCTATCAGCAACGCATGTGAGTTCCAGTCTCTCCATGTCCTTACCAACACCTATCATCGGTTTTTAATTTTAGCCATTCTGGTGGGTGCAAATGTGCTATATGTTTTTCAACCATTTTTATTTTGAAAGCATTCAAATACACAAGGGGCTGAAGGAATAGTACCTAGATTCACCACAATGTATTATGAGAATGAAAGACAGCAGAATGACAAATATCAGACATGTAATTGATCTGTTTAGGTTTTGTATTTCTTTTGTTGATTTGGCAATTTATGATATTCTTTTTGGAGACAGAGTCTCGCTCTGTTGCTCAGGCTGGAGCGCAGTGGCGCATTCACAGATAACTACAGCCTCAACTCCTGGGCTGTGGCGATCCTTCCACCTCAGCCTCCTGAGGAGCTGGGACTATACAGGCAGATGCCACTACGCCCAGCTAATTTTTTTGTATTTATCATGTTGTCCAGGTGGGTCTTGAAGTCCTGGGCTCAAAAAATCCACCAGCCTTGGCCTCCCAAAGTGCTGGGATAACAGGTGTGAGGCACAATGCCTGACCAATTTATGTTTTTCTACAAAACTTTATCTCATCCAGATTTTCAATGTACTCTTGTCTGTTCTTGGTAATCTCTTGATTTTAACATTTACTATCTGGTTCCTAATACATTTTATTTTGATTCTCCTTTTCTCTTGCTCCTTTTCATGTTTTTTTTTATTTTATTTTTTTTTTTTTTGAGACGGAGTCTTGCTCTGTCGCCCGGGCTGGAGTGCAGTGGCCGGATCTCAGCTCACTGCAAGCTCCGCCTCCCGGGTTTACGCCATTCTCCTGCCTCAGCCTCCCGAGTAGCTGGGACTACAGGCGCCCGCCACTTCGCCCGGCTAGTTTTTTGTGTTTTTAGTAGAGACGGGGTTTCACCGTGTTAGCCAGGATGGTCTCGATCTCCTGACCTCGTGATCCGCCCATCTCGGCCTCCCAAAGTGCTGGGATTACAGGCTTGAGCCACCGCGCCCGGCCCCTTTTCATGTTTTTTAAAATTCAAACCTTTTCTTCAGTAAACCAGTTTTTGGGGTCAGGCGCAGTGGCTCACGCCTGTAATCCCAGCACTTTGGTAGGCCAAGGAGGGCACATCATCTGAGGTGAGGAGTTCAAGACCAACCTGTCCAAGATGGTGAAATCCCATCTCCACTAAAAATACAAAAATTAGCCAGGCGTGATGGCACACACCTGTGACTAATCCCAGCTACTTGAGAGGCTGAGGCAGGAGAATCGTTTGAGCTTGGGAAGCAGACTTCGTCTCAAAATTAAAAACAAAACAAACAACAAAAAAAGTTTTTGGTATTATGAGAATGGAAAAGCACATGTTTAGAGAGTAAGCTTTGAAGCCAGATTCCCAGCTCAGCTACTCGCTAGCTGTGTAACATGTGCCATGTTACTTAACCTTTCTGTGCTTCAGTTTTTTTCTATAAAATGATAATAATGGCACATACATCTCATAGGCTATTTGAAATATAAATGAATTAATCCATTAAAGCACTCAGAAAGGTGACTGGTACATGTTAAGTTCTCGATAAATGTTAATTACTATAATTATCAATGCTAGAAATTAAAAAATTTTTTCACCCTCTATTTTTCTTTCATCTTTACTCAGTTCTTTTTGTACTCATGTTAAACTAATCAGATTTATTTTCAGTCCTTTATTTTTAAAAATAAATGCAATTAAGTCTACAAACTTTCCTCTAATGTATTTTCCTATATGACCATAAAAAGGACAGAGGAGGGAGACCCTGTCTCACTCTTTGAGTCAAGCAATTATAGCCCAAAGAGCAGTGCTTAGATGGAAAACAAACTGAAAAGGAGAAAAATGGGATGCCTGGAACAGATGAGAGATTTTTAGCCTGTGTCCTTATAAAAAGCTGTTAAAAAAGGCTAAGTGTGAATCATAAATGTTAAACTATTAACATAAATCAAGTATATATTTTATCTCATGCTTCCAGGGTCCTTAAAGATTATCTGATAAGTAAAATTTAAGAATCACATCTAAATTAAAGCGCTATACTAGAACAAGGGACTGAATCAAATAAAATGAAGTTAACAGGGAAAAATGTGAGATGCAGCGAAACTGAGAGAGGTATATGACCTGACAGCAATGTGGGTGAAAAGACCAAGGTTGAATGTGAGCAGACCTCATGTGGAGTATGATGTCCAGTCTTCTACATCCCAACTTTCAAAGAGACCCTGACAAGCTAGAGAAGGGCACGTAGGGACAGGGAGAAGGGCAGTCAGGCTGACAAAGGGGCAACAGCCAGAATCTCTCTCTCCACAGGCAAGAACTACAACCACGGCTGGAAACTTCAGGAAGTACATGCTGACTTAATACAAAGGAAGAACTGTCTAAAAGACGGAGCTGACCAACAAGGGAGTCAACCATCTTGCAAAGCAGCACTTTCTCCACCACTGAAGTCAGAAACAAACACTGTATGGCTATGTACAAGGATGCCTGCTCTGAACTGTGGGTAAATTTGGCTGAATGAAAAACCACCTGCACAGTGCCCCTAGTTCTACATTCTGCCACAGGTCAGGAGAATGTCATGTCAGCAGGGCACTGCTCCACAGACTGGCTTAGGAACCTCAGGAGTCATAACCTAAGCAATTTGCTTTTAGATCCTGAAAATTTCATAGCAAATACAAATACTTTCCAGCTTTATAGTTACCTGAGTTCCCACTTAGTCATACCTGAAATCAAGTGTGGTAATTAAGTGCACACATAACAGAAAGGGATGATCTCTAGAAAAGTTGTAGTAACTCCTTTACTGGGTAGAAGCAACTCAGATAAAATCTGAGTTGTTATAAAACTCAAGTTTACATTTCTGGGGATGAGACCTGAAGTAACCTCTTCGAAAGGGTTTTCAGCAGTTATTTCATCAATAAGAATGACAGAATTTTGGAGAAACGTGGCTATTGGCCGTTCTCTCAGTTGCATAAGTGACCCTCCACAGTAAGGCCTCATTCATAAGTCTGGGTAGTTTTTACCTAACAACACAGCCAATTCTCACCAAACCTTCAAGACCAGTTTTTCCCCCAAGCTTAAGAGCATATTCAAATACTTTCTCACACATGAATTTTCTACCATACAAAATTTTCCTGCCATGGTTTATCTTAAGAAGGGAGGAGGAGGCCAACAAGTGCAGCCACTTTCTAAAAATTTTGATGTGCTGAAAAAATAGTTCCTGTCAGTCACTCCTTGGACTGGCCTGGCCAGATGCTCGGCAGACACCTGTAGCACGGCTTCCTTCGCTGACTGTGAAGAAGAAAAGGTACCGTGTTGCAGCTACACACTGCCAGCAACACAGTTTGCATTACCTTGTTCAAACTTGAAATCGATGTAAGAATACTGGTTCATTTCTTTTCTCTTCTTCCTTTTTCCACTGGTTTCTGGTGATAGCTCCTGCCATTTTTTAATGGCATCAGAAAAGGCCTAAAAATTGAGAAAGCGAGAGGTTACTTCTGTAAATGGAAAATAAGAATACCCGAGACAGGCAATCCCTAAATGTCATTTTAACACGGTTTCAGCTTTCTTCCCAGCACGGCTAACAATAGGTAGTGGCGGCCGGGTGCAGTGGCTCATGCCCTTAATCCCAACACTTTGGGAGGTCAAGGCAGGCGGATCCCTTGAGGTCAGGAGTTCGAGACCAGCCTGGCCAACATGGTGAAACTCTGTCTGTACTAAAAATACAAAAATTAGCCGGGCATGGTGGTGCACACCTGTAATCCCAGCTACTCAGGGGAGGCTGTGGTAGAAGAATCACTTGAACCTGGGAGGCGGAGGTTGCAGTGAGCCGAGACTGCACTGCTGCACTCCAGCCTGGGCGAAAGAGTGAGACTATGTCTCAAAAAAAGAAAAAAAAAAAAAAAAAAAGAATTAGTCGGTGGTAAATAGGCATTTCTTTATTTTCATTTCTTCTGACTTTCATAAACTGGTACAATGGTGGAAGCAAAACACTTACTGACAGATTAAAGAGTAAAGAAAAACTGTTGGCTGGGTGCTATGGCTCACACCTGTAATCCTAGCATGGTGGGAGGCTGAGTGGGGCGGATCGCTTGAGCTTAGGAGTTCAAGGCTAGCCTGGGCAACATGGGGACACCCCATCTCTACTAAAATACAAAAAGACAGCTGGGAGTAGTGGTCCACAGCTGTGGTTCCAGGTACTCAGAGGCTAAGGTAGGACAATCACTTGAGCCTGAGAGGCAGGGCTGCAGTGAACCATGATTGCACCACTGCACTCTATCCTGGGTAACACAAGAGACCCAATCTCAAATTAAAAAAAACTGTCCAAGCTGTCTTTGAATAAGTACAGGTTAAATCACATGACATTGGGCTGGTGAGTTCCATTCTGTAGGCAAATCTTCCATGTTGTTTCCCTGGTCAATGCTCCTCTTTATTCTCCCCTAACCTGCTTCCCCCATGCTCTTCTCTGCCTGCACCTATACGCACCCCACCCTTCGAAAGCATGCTGGAGTTCAAAATCCTTCCACTGGTGAGGATCCCTTTTCTTTCCTACCTTCAGCTTCTCCTTCTTAGATTTTCCTCATCAGGATTTAAATGTGTTGAAGCCAGGGCGGGCGCAGTGGCTCATTCCTATAATCCCATCACTTTGGGAGGCCAAGGCAGGTGGATCACCTGAGGTCAGGAGTTTGAGACCAGCCTGGACAACATGGCAAAACCCTGTCTCTACTAAAAATACAAAAAATTAGCTGGACGTGATGGCATGCACCTGTAATCCCAGCTAATTGGGAGGCTGAGGCAGGAAAATTGATGAACCTGGTAAGCAGAGGTTGCAGTGAGCTGAGATTGCGCCATTGCACTCCAGCCTAGGCGACAGAGTGTAACTCTGTCTAAAAAAAAAAAGTGCTCAAGTCTGCCATCCTAAAAAAAAGGAAGGAGAAGGGGTACCTGATTTGAACAGGAAGGAGGAGTGTGTGAGGTAAGGTCATCCTGCCTGGAAGAGAAGAAGGAAGAGTGGGAGCCTTTCAGGAAGACTGGGTGGGACTCCTGAGTGTGGCAGGGGGTAGGTGGCCTTGGGGCTCATGTCCTGTGGCTACGTTGTTAGGGTGCAGGGCAGGCTGGGGTCCAAGCCTGGGCGGCATGAGAAGGGGGGTGGCTATGATGGCAGTGTTTGTCTGAAACTCCTGCTGAAACTTAATCCCCAGTGTGGCAGTGTTGAGAAGGTGATCTCATCTCTCTTTCAATGCCAGCCCCTCTTTTGTCCTCTCCTCTTTGTAGAGAAATTTATCAGAGGAGCTGTTTATCTGCTGTTTCATCACCTCACCCTTATGACCACATGCTTTCCAGCTGTCTCTAATCTGGCATCTACCCTGCCTTTGCACTTACTAATCTATGCTTATTACTGAGTGGCCAAGTCTACAAGTCTACCATTTACATCTTAGTCCTCATCTTGCACAAACTCTTAGCAGTATTTAATAACAGGCTGGGCATGGTGGCATCCCAGTGCTTTAGGAGGCTGAGGTGGGAGGACAGCCTAAGGCCAGGAGTTCAAGACCAACCTGCACAATCTAGCAAGACCCCATTTCTACAAAAAATGAAAAGATCATCCAGGTGCGGTGGTGCACACCTGTAGTCCTAGCTACATGGGAAGCTGAGGCACGAGGATGGCTTGAGCCCAGAAGGTCAAGGTTGCAATAAGCCATGATTGTGCCACTGTACTCCAGCCTGGGTAACAGAGACCCTGTCTCTAAATAACAATAACAATGATGATGATGATAATACAGACTGCTCCAGTCTTTCAACTTCCTCCTTCCTGTCTGCCTGCCTCCTCCGCTTGCTCTTCACACCTGGTATCTCTGGGTACCTCATCCTGGCTGGTGAGATTTTCCATATGCTGATGACTCTCAAAGTCTTATCACCATAAAACCCAAGGAGATACAAAAAAAAAAAAAAAAAAAAAAAAAAAATCCTATCTACAGTCTGTATTTTCCAAACGTTTTAGTCCATTGAACCTCCCAATGAGTTATTTTTACTTAGATGTCTCACAGGCCCTTCTCAGCACATTGGCAACCAAAGTTTCCCAGATTGAATTCATGATTATTTCCCTCCAAAGCAGATGTTTATACTAGTTCTCACCCCCAATAAATGATACCAACATCTTCCACAACCCCTTTCACCAAACTCCTGCCTGGGTCTGTGATTAAATGTTCCTTGCTCAGGGAGGCCCTTCTGGAGACCCTTGGTCTACCTTAGGTTGCCTCCTGTTTTACCCTTTCAAAGCCCCTCTATTTTTCTTTCAGTCTTTTTTTTGGCCAGGCGCAGTGGCTCATGTTGGTAATCTCAGCACTATGGGAGGCTGAGGCAGGCGGATCATCTGAGGTCAGGAGTTGCTGACCAGCCTGGCCAACATGGTAAAACCCCATCTTTACTAAAAATACCAGCCAGGCGTGGTGGTGAGAATCTGCAGTCCCAGCTGCTCAGGAAGCTGGGGCAGGAGAATCGCTTGAACTGGGGAGGCAGAGGCTGCAGTGAGCCAAGATCGCACCACTCCACTCCAGCCTGGGCGACAGAGCGAGACTCCATCTCAAAAAAAAAAAAAAAAAAAAAAAGAGGTGGAAGGGGGTTGGCCTAGACCTCAGCATGAGCCACAGTCCTTGGCTTGGTTCTTCCCTTCCTCCAGGTAAGGCCAATGAGTATTTTAACCACTACGATAACTCCATGTTTGTCCTTTGGACAAAAGAAACATCACAGTGTTCGCTGAGCATCACAAGAATTTCAGTAGAATAGAATTTAATGGCAGTAAGGGCGAATGAGGAGTAAGCCAAGGTCTCTGCTGGTGCACGCACTTCTGTTCTGGCCACAGCTACAAAGCGGGCACCGTGTGCTGTCCTTCATGGAAGATGTCTGTGTTACCACCACGAACCAGCACCCTTCTCACCCTTAACAAAGGCCTTTAAGTGCTATCTATTTTAGGATCCTGGGGGGAGAACGGTGGGAGCTGTCAGTAGCTGTCCATTCTCTTCTGAGAGGGCAACGCTGTGTTCCCGGACTCTTTACAGACTTTACGTCCGATCACTGATAGGATAACTGAGCCATCTGGGGGATGGATGGTCATGTGACCTGTCCCAAGTCAGAAAGCAAATCAGGAAGGAGCAGGATTAGAACACATCTTTCATACTCCTGCATTCCACACTAGAATGTATTACCTTCCAGGATTTTATGGTCAAACCAGGACTTCTCTGCTTCTCATCTATCTATTATTTCTTTTCATTTAACCCTTCATGATCAGCAAATACCTATCTATTTATCTTCACCCTAATTCCTTAGTAATCATAAACCATCCCAATTTCCACAAGCTGGACTGTTCATTCTGTTATCATGGGAAGATGTAGCCAAGAGGTGTGACCCCAAGAGGAAGACCAAGTAGAGCACCTTTCGGGTGATTGCATAGTGTCCTTTGAGCTCGTGCAGCGCCCACTTGATGTCCTGACTACTGAGCATTTTGAAGTCGGCCATGAGGAGGTCAGCAGCTTGGATGAAGCAGCGCTGGTCAAGAGGAGTCAATTTAGAATAGTCAAAAAAGTCTATTTTAGGCAACTGAAACGAGAGAGAAGCATAAAATCAGAGGCCAGGCAGTACATTTCCCATGTAAGGGAAATCATTTTAAGAATTACAGGTGTAGAAAAGAATAACGTTTGTTCTAATTACTCTATAAGGAAGTTACCAGCCCTATAAGAGAGATGAGAAAATGGTGGCTCAGAGAGGTTAAACGAACCTGTCTGGAGCCGACAGACTAGTTTTACTAGTTACAACTAGTAAAGAAGTATAGTTGGGGATTTAAACCAATCTTTCAGCCATTCTTTCCACAACATATTTACACACAACTATTTTTTTTTCTATTATAGAATACGTAAGAGAGACAGTCAAAGAATCTATGGGGAGTTGGAAGATCAAGCAACAGATCTTAATAAAGTTAGTTCTCAACCATACTTTACCATGTAACACACTAAATGCCAGTTTGGATCACAAATAATGACAATGATTAAAGTTTTTAAAAACCAAGCTGTTTACATCTTGATATGAGACCTGGTTAAACAGATGTATAGTATACACTGTATACAAATCTCACATCAAAAGAAAAAAGATATTCAACTCTAGGTAATGATCTGCATGCTGATGTATTTACAGGGAAGTGTACTGATGTTTTTGCAATTTACTTTGAAATGCATCATAATGAAATGAAACATAACAAAGATGTGCTGATGGACAGAGGACATATGTATGATAAAGAGGATACAGTAAACTGTTAACTTTTTAGTAGCACCAGTGGTAGGGATATAGGTGATCGACGTAAAATATTTCAACTTTTCTGTAGGTTTGAAAATTTTCATAATAAAATGTTAAGAGTCCTGGCCAATTCTTATTTTGTTTTAGGAATTTGCTTTGTAGGATTAAAGATATGGAGGATTCATTTAATTCTTTGTGGGAAAAGGAAGATAAGAATTACAAGGAAAGATAGAAGTTAAAGACAGAATTCAAAGTGGCTCAGAATGGGAGATCGCACTGAAGTACAGACATATTCTGAAATCCTATGTCCCTCTGCTAGTCTTTAAAAACTTGTCCCAACAAAGCACTTTCTTCCCATACAGATAACAACAACAACAACAACAAAGCAGGGCATTTCCAGGTAGCGACTGCAAAACAAGAACACGACACTTGCCTTTGTCTCATCCTGGCTGGCCAGCAGACTGCTACTGGGATTTATGATGATTCTATCTTCTCTCTTTGGATAATCTGGGTTTTCCAGAAGAAAATTACAAAGTCTGCAAAAACAAATGATGTTACTTTCATACTGCTTCCAAACCCCACACCTGCCCATTGCCTCAAATGCAATATTTGAAGAATATAGTCCTTAGTCACACATTACAACTGGCCTAACAAGAAATTAAGATGTGTGCAGCCCAGAAAAACTAAACAGATAAATAAACAAGTGCATTGAATTCCTATCTTTGTGGAAGATAAAAAATTTAAAAAGCAATGAACATACTGATTAAGGCAAACTCCTCTGAAGTTTAGGTATCAGTTGTGTGTTAATGTAATGAAGTCACTGAAACTATTATTGGTTAAACTACGAAATTGGACAATTTATAAGAAAAGTAGCTATTCTTCTGTCAAGAAAACTATGAACAAAAAAGAAGTGGAAAACTGTGTATTCACATTTACAATAAAAAATAGTCTGCTAAGAGATGTAATAAATAAATGAAATATAAACGATCTTCTGTTAATTCATTAATATTTTTCATACCCCTCTGGTAACATGAATCTCTAAGGTAATATAAAGCTCTATGAGCCACTGAGTTATATTTGGTTTATTTAGCTAGCTGTTAAGCTAGACTGATGAATAGATCATGTTTTCCTATGAACAGACACTCTTCACACCAAACCCATTAGCTTTGTGTATTATCATCATGAAATACTTCCAAAGTAAGGATATACAGAGTGAGATAACACACATTGACGTATCACCACCCAGACACAACAAATATTAACTATTCAGGCTCTTCACAGCCAAATCAGACAACCACCTTGGAATGACTGCACAGTAGTAAAGACAGAGTGAGTGGGGTACAGCTCTAGCCACATTCAGTCGCAAGGAAGTTCCTTTGCTCAGAGGTTAATGGGGACTTCCCCTTTCCTCTGTTCTTTCTCTTGCTCCAGTAGATTCCTAGGATGAACCCCTAGGTGCTATACCTGCAGTTCTCACACACCTCCTTTCTACTGATTCTCTTTTGCCAGATGTCAATAGTAAGGCCTATAATAGTAGGACAGGAGGTCTGGCAGAAAGAGGGCAGAGAAGAAGTGCCCAGCTCTGCCTCTTTTTCTCACCCAGGTGCCAGTGTTTGGGGACTGGTTTGGACACGTTCGTTTATTCTGCAACCCCTGCCGGGGACCCATGTCAAAGCGCTCTCGCTCATCCTGACATCTCAATGCATTTCCCTTTGCCATTACTTCTGGGAGTCCCATATACTTTTTATCTCTAAGCCCCCCGCTTCCCTACCACCACAGCCTGCCCAGTCTATGGAACACAATGCCAGAGGCCCAAAGAGAGGAAAAAAAGCAGGAAACTCCTATTACAGAGGGAGACAAGAATTCAGAGTACATTTTCCTTTAAAGCCATTGTCATCAGTGGTAATTCTCTGTCCTAGAATTCACTGGTGTGCACTGAGGTTATGCAAACCTTTGAAGGCTGACCTGAGAATTAGCCACCAGCAAAAATCCTGTCTGTAGGGAAAGGCCTGAGTTACAGACAACTCATTACACGTGCATATTTGACGTGGCGACAAACTAGACATGAACTAGCTTTAAAATGGTCTGTTTTCACGTTTTCTCAAGTACATGATACATAAGTACACCTCTACATGAAATACAGGTGGAACAGTAGATAAGATTTCTTAAAAAAAAACATGTTTGAGAGGTTCATCTCTCCCCATTTTATATTTTCAACAATATTAAGAACTTCAAATACTGAAATGCTACAGATATGAAGTTCCACACGGTAGATATCAGAAGCTCTCACTATAAACTGTCAAAATTCATTTCTAGTTTAATCCTTTCATTATGCTTACCAACAGAGCTCTTCTGGAGGTTAAGGGACATTTAGAGGCCCAGAAAATGAAGGATAAAGTTTTTCTTCTACAGAAACAAGTGGTATTCTCTAATATCTGCACCCTGGGGCAAAAGCAGAGGGGAAGCCTGTTGGACTTCAATCTGCCTACCTCTTCATATGATGTCATGCTTGAGGTGATCTGACATGCTAGCGGATCTAGAGAAGGCACTCCTGCAAAGTAAGCCAGGCTAGTACTCCGACCTTTCAACCCTTAGATAGTTGTTGCTGCCTTCATCCAACTGAAGTTGACCCCGCGTGAGTGAAAGGTCTAAGTTAACCAGCCAGAGTAGATTACCTGCCATGTGGTTCTCTAATGAATAGGCCCCTTCCTGCTTAAAATGCCCAGATGGTTCCATCTGAAGGTCATTGAAAGACGCACATAAAGCAACTGAGATTGAGCTACAACAAAATCCCAGCCTGCTCAACTCAGCTTTGGGCCTTATTTCCAGTTTCCATTAACATTTTACTTTAGTTGTGGAATTAACATTGTCCTAGGAGCCCAGAGACTAACGGAAAGGAAAGCAGTGTCAGGAAAACAAGATTGGCTTGAAAAGATGCAATACAATGACGGTACATTCCCTTGCTTTTCGGATATCACGGGAATTTTTTTTTTTTTTTTTTTTTTGAGATGGAGTCTTGCTCTGTCGCCCAGGCTGGAGTGCAGTGGCACGATCTCGGCTCACTGCAAGCTCCACCTCCCGGGTTTACGCCATTCTCCTGCCTCAGCCTCCCGAGTAGCTGGGACTACAGGCGCCCGCCACCTCGCCCGGCTAGTTTTTCTTATTTTTTAGTAGAGACGGGGTTTCACCGTGTTAGCCAGGATGGTCTTGATCTCCTGACTTCGTGATCTGCCCGTCTCAGCCTCCCAAAGTGCTGGGATTACAGGCTTGAGCCACCACACCCGGCCTCACAAGAATTTTTATGTGTTTAAGGATCAATGTTTGTTTCTGAGTGACACAAAAAGCACAGAGGGTCAGCAAGTCCCTAAAAATAAGTACACGCGTGAGACTCAGGAAGTAGAACAGAACTGTAACAGAAGGTGTCAATTTGATTACAGTTTAGTGATTTTTATAGACAATCTTGAAGATATATTTAAACATGATGTTCATTTGCAGAAGGGGAGAAAAACATTGAAGTATTCTTCAATTTCTATGAGGCTAAATTGTTAAAAAAAATACTAAAACAGGCCGGGCGCGGTGGCTCACGCCTGTAATCCCAGCACTTTGGGAGGCCGAGGTGGGCGGATCACAAGGTCAGTAGATCGAGACCACAGTGAAACCCCGTCTCTACTAAAAATACAAAAAATTAGCCGGGTGTGGTGGCGGGCGCCTGTAGTCCCAGTTACTCAGGAAGCTGAGGCAGGAGAATGGCGTGAACCCGGGAGGCGGAGCTTGCAGTGAGCTGAGATCGCGCCACTGCACTCCAGCCAGGAGGACAGAGCGAGACTCCGTCTCAAAAAAAAACCAAAAAACAAAAAACAAAACTAAAACATGTTATCTGGTATTCAAATCACTGTTCTTTAAATGAGCTAAATTTATACTTTTCTCTACCATTTACATTTTCTGTAATGAACAAACCAGTATTACATTTCATAACCAGGAAAACATTAACCAAAAAAAGAAAAAAAGGAATTCAAAGAGAAGAGAGAAGTAAACAATTCACATGCAAGGGAAATACAATTAGTAAACAAATATATGAAAAAAACAGCCAATTATCAAAGAAATGTCACTTATGCTACTTTATGCCTACCCTAGTTAACTACAAAAAATAACATAACTCACTTTTATCGAAGAGTTGTTAAAGCAATTCACACATACAAGTTGCTTTTTAGATGAGTGGAAGTCTACGAGAAAGTTTTCATTGTAAAAATGTAGTCATTGCTGCTCAATTTTCCTGTAAACCTAGAACTGCTCTAAAAAATAAAGCTTAGTAATTTAAAAAATGTAGTTATTATTATGCCACTTAGAAATCCAAAAAGAAAGTATTTCAAAAGCTAGGAGGGGAAAAAACTCCCCCACAAACAATTCTCCTGGAAAACAGCAAACATAGCCAACAGGAAGGTGGATGCCAGGGCGTGGGGCAAGTAGAGTTCAGGAGACAAGCAGGAGAATGTTCACAGCTACATTATTTGTGACAGTCAGAACTCAAATCCCTATCAAAAGTAGATGGAAAATTTCATTGCTAAGTGGTATATGAAAAATATGTAAACTGTGGTTCTACCCAACAAGAATAAGCCTCACAAACATAATGCTGAGTGAAAAGAAGTCAGACGCAAAAGACTATAGACTACATAAAATCTTTATGTAGTGTTCAAAGAGGATAGCAACGTTCTATTTCTTGAAGATTTCTGGGCCGTGGTTACATAAGTGTTTGGTTTGTGATAAATTACTGAACTGTGCATCTTTATTTTCTTCATTTTTCTTTGTGTATATCATATTCTACAATAACCAAGTTTAAAAACTATACACAATAAATATGTGGAAAGGCTTGAGATGAGTACCTGGCACGTAAATAACAAAATGGCTTTTTTTCCTCACTGTATGGAAGGTTAAACACTCAGGTAGAGTCTCTTCTTGAAAAATAAAAAATGCTTTAAGAGTTTGGGTAATCCAAGCTGGGTGAGGTAACACATACCTATAATCCCAGCTATTCGGGAGGCTGAGGCAGCAGAATCACGTGAACATGGGAGGCAAAGGTTGCAGTGAGCTGAGATCATGTCATTGCACTCTAGCTTGGGCGACAAGGGAAAAATTCTGTCTCTCAAAAAAAAAAAAAAAAAAAAAGAAAAAAGAAAGAAAGAAAAAAAAAGTTTGCCGGGCACTGTGGCTCACGTTTCCCAGCACTTTGGGAGGCTGAGGCAGGGGACTAACTTGAGGTCAGGAGATCGAGACCAGCCTGGCCAACATGGTGAAACCTCATCTCTACTAAAATACAAAAATTAGCTGGGCATGGTGTTGTGCGCCTGTAATCCCAGCTACTCGGGGGGCTAAGGCAGAAGAATCGCTTGAACCCAGGAGACGGAGGTTGCAGTGAGCCAGGATCACACCACTGCACTCCAGCCTGGGCAAGAGAGTGAGACTTCATCTCAAAAAATAAATAAATAAATAAAATAAAAAAAGTTTGTATAATCCAAAAACTTCAAGACAGGAATCTAAAGTCGTTTCAAACTGACACTGCCCTTGGGGACCTGAAAGAAGCAAAAACAATCCTCTCTAAAGAAATCAACTCTATCAAGAACTCAAGACATGAGCTTAGAGTCAAACTTAGAAAATACACAAGAAAATGAGGCACGATGGGAGCCAGCAGGAAGAACAGAGTAAGATTCCCAGTAAGATTCCCAAGAACTTAACACATCAGAACAATCAAACTCACAAAGAAGCGATGTTTATTGTTTAAAGAAATAAAAAAAGATTAAAAATGTAGGCAAAGAGCAAAATTCTAGGAAAATAACCAAGAGAATTAAAAGCTAAAATATCATAACTGAAAAACAGTAACAGTGGATGAGTTAAAAGATTACACTCTGCTGAAGAGAAATTTGTGGGCTAGAAGACACCTGTGAAGAAATCGTCCAGAATGCATCTCAGAGACAAAGAGGTGAACTTAGAGACATGGAGATTGTGGGAGAAGAGTTACAGAAGACAGGAAACAGCTACAAAATTTCCAGAACTGACAACATCACCAATCTATGGCCTGGTAGTATATACTCTTAACGGTTTTGCTTTACTGAGAAGCATGTTAAGTAAAATTGATAAAGATTAAGGGAAGGCCAGGTGAAGTGGCTCACACCTGTAATCCCAGCACTTTGGGAGGCTGCGGTAGGCCGATCACCTGAGGTCAGGAGTTCAAGATCAGCCTGGCCAACATGGGGAAACTCTGGCTCTACTAAAAATACAAAAATTAGCCAGGTGTGATGGCACATGCCTGTAATCCCACCTACTTGGGAGGCTGAGGCAGGAGAGTCACTTAAACCTGGGAGGCGGAGGCTGCAGTGAGCTGAGATTGTACCATTGCACTCTAGTGTAGGCGACAGAGTGAGACTCTATCTCAAAAATAAATAAAAAAATAAACAAACAAATAAAAATCTGATGACAGTGGTTGCCTCTGTACAGAGGTGGGATCAGACAAGGCCACTACTGGCTCCAACAGTGTCATTGTACAAATTAGAAAAAAGTACCTACATTGGGTTAAGTACCTGGAAAGGGGTCCTTCCTTCTCAGCCTCAGCAGGGAAGAAACCCACCTGCACCCCTGACTGAGAACTACACTATAAGACAGGAACTTTGAGGAAAGGTGTTTAGTGAACTGTCTATTTTGTTTAAGTTTACCACCAGGCTGGGTACAGTGGCTCACGGCTGTAATCCCAGCACTTTGGGAGGCCAAGGTAAGCGGATCACGAGGTCAGGGGTTCAAGACTAGCCTGACCAACAAGGTGAAACCCCGTCTCTACTAAAAATACAAAAATTAGCCGGGTGCGGTGGAGCATGCCTGTAATGCCAGCTACTCAGGAGACTGAGGCAGGAGAATTGCTTGAACCTGGGAAGTGGAGATCGCAGTGAGCCAAAATCACACTACTGCACTCCAGCCTGGGCAACAGAACAAGATTCCGTCAACAACAACAACAACAACAAAAACAACAACAACAACAAAAAATTACGACTATTTCACTTCTGCAGATCAGAAGGAGGGGAAAGAGTATATTTTTCATTTTATATTCTTCAGGAAAACTTATATTTTTAAAAAGCATATTTAAGACTTATAAAAAAATTTTTTTTAAACAGAGACAAGATCTCACTCTGCCTCCCAGGCTGGAGTGTAGGAGCATAACATAGCTCCCTGAAGCCTTGAATTCCTGGACTCAGGTAATCCTCTTGCCTCAGCCTCCCAAAGTGCCAGGATTAAAGGTGTGAGCTATGTGTCTGGTCTATATTCATCCTTTTTATAATGAAAATTAAGAAATGCTTCTACGTATTTCTCCAGAGTGGTTGCAGAACACTTTGTTACAATTGTAGGGAAGAAAATGTCTTAACATCTTGACTAAAACACAGGTAGTATCAATCTCAGAAACAACTCAGCATCATAATTCTGTAACCATGCAGTACTCCATAAAATCCAGGAAACAGTCTGTATATCACTAATGTCAGAATGAACAAGGTCATTAAAAAAGACATGCCAAGTGAAATAAACCAGTCAGAAAAGAATAAATACATGAGGCCCTGATAGCAGTCAAATCCATACAGAAAGAAAGTAGGATGGTGGGTGCCACTGGCTTGGGAGGGGGATGGGGAGTGAGTGTTTAATGGGGACAGTGTTTCATTTTGAGAAGAAAGAGTTCTGGAGATGGATGATAGTGATAGTTGCATAATAACGTTAATTTACTTAACACCACCAAACTGTATATTTAAAAATGATTAAAATGGTAAATTTTATATTATATATATTTTACCACAACCACTACCACAAAAAAAGCATGGTATTATACTTACACATTCAGATCATAATAATTCTTCAAATGAATTATTTCCTCAATAAACCCATTTGCTACATCTGGAAATCTTGCTTCCTAGAAACAAATAAGAACATAATTTATATTTCATTCACTAGAATGGTTTCAAATGCCAATACAAGACGGATGGCAAAAGTGTAATAAAATGACTAAAGACTAGAAAAGGGCTTTGAAGCAGGTCTGTGTGTGTCTTCAAAGTCAACACTAGTTTTCAGATTCATCTGTCTACATAGAAGATTAGGTCTAGAAGGGTCTTGAGAGATCTCGTTCTCTGTCCCCATTTTACAGATCCATTCTTCATTGTTTCAACAAATACTGAGCATCTCTGTCTAGACAAAGGGAATCGATACACAAATAAGTTACAATCTCATGCCAGCCCTCAAGCAGCTCACAACCTCGTGGCTAGATAAAAACACCTGGGTGGCTGGGCGCGGTGGCTCATGCCTATAATCGAAGCACTTTGGGAGGTCGAGGCAGGCGGATCACCTGAGGTCAGGAGTTCGAAACCAGCCTGGCCAACATGGTGAAACCCCGTCTCTACTTAAAAAAAACACAAAAATTAGCCAGGCGTGGTGGTATGCACCTGTAATCCCAGCTACTCAGAAGGCTGAGGCAGGAGAATTGCTTGAACCCAGGAGGCGGAGGTTGCTGGGACTATAGGCGCATACCACCACACCAGGCTAATTTTTTGTTTTTTCAGTTGAGACAGGGTTTCACTGTGTTAGTCAGGACAGTCTTGATCTCCTGACCTTGTGATCCACCCGCCTTGGCCTCCCGAAGTGCTGGGATTACAGGCGTGAGTCACCGTGCCTGGCCCTTATATTACTCTTAATATCACCACTAATAGAGCTTTGTAGGATGACAGAAACATTGTGCTCTATGCTTGATGATGAGGTAAGCTGTTAGCCTCATGTGATTACTAAGGCTAAGATGTGACTGGTGCCACGGGAAATTTTTTTTTTTTTTTTTTTTTTTTTTTTTTTTTTTTTGAGACGGAGTCTCGCTCTGTCGCCCAGGCTGGAGTGCAGTGGCGCAATCTCGGCTCACTGCAAGCTCCGCCTCCCGGGTTCACGCCATTCTCCTGCCTCAGCCTCCCGAGTAGCTGGGACTACAGGCGCCCGCCACTGCGCCCGGCTAATTTTTTTCTATTTTTTAGTAGAGACGGGGTTTCACCATGGTCTCGATCTCCTGACCTTGTGATCCACCCGCCTCGGCCTCCCAAAGTGCTGGGATTACAGGCGTGAGCCACCGCGCCCGGCGCCACGGGAAAATTTTATTTAACTGTAAGACATTTAAATGTCAACTGCCACAAGGAGCTAGTAAGTGCCATACTGGACAGCATAGGTCTAGGTAATTCAATAAACCTGCTTTAAGGGTTTCCATTTGGAGTGAACTCAAGGAATTTGAAAAAAAACGAGGAACTGCAGGTATGACAGCACCAGGCCACCATGATATGCAGTTAGAATCCCAGAGAGCTTCCTGAAGGGTTAAGTATAGTAAAGGAACCCCGATTCCATTTTCACGTCTTCAGAGTGTCTCTTTTCTGTATATCTAGATATATACTTCTTAGAAAAATAAAGTCCACGCATACAACTTTTTGCAATAAAAAAAAAAAGAAAGAAAGAAACTGAGTATACGCAGTGTCTGCATTTACTTGATAAAACTTACCGTTTCTTTCACTAATAGTTCAACAAGTTCTTGATCTACCTCTGCAGCTTCTTGCCCCCAAATGTTTTCCAAATTGGGCTCTTCAGATTCTTGCATTGGAAAGGCTGGACCTGGCTCTTCATCATCAATTGCTAACTGTTGGTCTTCAAACTCTCCTAGAGGATGGGCAGGCTGAGGAGAAGAGGGGCCTGAAATTCCACCTTGCTGGGGTTCTGGCCTTGGAAAAGCTGGGCCCGGGAATTCATGCTGAAACAACAAGCGGCCCAGTTCTGCTTCAGGCTGCCGTTCCTGAGGAACAACTTGGTTTGTTATTTCACGGGGCTGTTGGTTCAGAGACTGGAAGTAAGGATGATCTAACCAGCAGTCTTCTTCGATGGCCTGATCATCTGCTAGAGCAGCTGACTCTCCTGGATTTGATAACAGCTCTGTCTCTGAGTCTTCGGATGACTGGTTCTGAGTTTCCAAAGGATCGCTTTCTGTGTAAAGAAGGCTACTTTCTTCCAAGATGATGACTTTCTGCTCTGATCTGGGGTTGACAATGTCATTTGCTGCTTCGTTACGACTCGGTCCAGGCTTGGGTTCTTTTTCTATTTGGCCACTTGGCTTAGTGAATTCAGAGATTCCAGGAGGCCCAAGATCCAGAAATTCACCGTAGTCATCCTCAGAATCATCCTGTGCCCCAGAATCAAACAATGGGTTGTTACACACTGAAAAATAGCTGCTCTTATCTGATTCAAATGCTGCTCTAGACTTTTTAGGGCTTTCTTCTCCCAACCTTTTCAGATCTTGCCACTGGGCAGCTGGTTTGATGAGATTGGGTCGTGATCTCTGAGGTTTATTTGTCTAAGAAAAAATGAAATTTTAATAATTCAATTTCTTTCCTATGCCTATCCCTCCTTATGTACTTATATTGAGCTTCCGAGATAGGATAGGAAAGAAAAACACCCTCCCCCTTAACAATACCTATTTTTATATTTATCTTAACATTGAAATTTGATTACACTACTTAGTATCTGTAAGAATCGAAGTAGTCATTCATAGATTAAAGCTTGAGATAGAGTTTGAACTATAACTTATTTTTACTTTTGAGACAGAGTTTTCCTCTGTTACCCAGGCTGGAGTGCAACGGTGCGATCTCAGCTCACCGCAACCTCTGCCTCCCAGGCTCAAGCAACTCTTGTGCCTTAACCTCCCGAGTAGCTGGGATTACAAGCATGTGCCACCATGTCCAGCAAATTTTTGTATTTTTAGTAGAGATGGGGTTTCGCCATGTTGGCCACGCTGGTCTCAAACTCCTGGCCTCAAGTGATCTACCTCCCTCAGCCTCCCAAAGTGCTAGGATTACAGGCATGAGCCACTGAACCCGGCCCTGAATTATAATTTAATCTGAGACCACTAAAACAAAAATAACTCCACAGCAGAGAAAACAATGAAAGAATGCTAACACATCAGAAGAATAAGAAATGTTCAAAAAACATATAAAAACAATCTAAATCTCATTAGCAACCAGCAAAATGAAAAATTAAAACAAGACAGTATTTTTTTCCCTGTAAAACTGGCAAACTTTTAAATTAGATAATACCAAGCATTGGTGAGGATGGTGAAAATTCTTTTTTTTTTTTTTTTGAGACAATCTCGCTCTGTCACCCAGGTTGGAGTGCAATGGCATGATCTCAGCTCACTCCAACTTCCGCCTCCCAGGTTCAAGCGATTCTCCTGCCTCAATCTCCTAAGTAGCTGGGATTATAGGCGCACACCTCCAAACCCAGCTAATCTTTGTATTTTTGGTAGAGACAGGGTTTTGCCATTGCCAGGCTGGTCTTGAACTCCTGACCTCGGATGATTGGCCCACCTTAGCCTCCCAAAGTGCTGGGATTACAGGCGTGGGGCACCATGCTTGGCCATGTGTGAAAATTCTTATACTATCATTTACTGCTGGTGAATTTAGGAGAGAAATTTGGCACTACTTATTAAAATAAAAAACGTAGCCCAGGTGCGGTGGCTCACACCTGTAATCCCAGCATTTAGGGAGGCCGAGGTGTGTAGATCACAAGGTCAGGAGATCAAGACCATTCTGGCCAATGTGGTAAAATCCCATCTCTACTAAAAATACAAACATCAGCTGGGTGCGGTGGTGCATGCCTGTAATCCCAGCTACTCGGGAGGCTGACGTAGCAGAACTGCTTGAACCAGGGAGTCAGAGGTTGCAGTGAACCGAGATGGTGCCACAGCACTCCAGCCTGGAAACAGAGCAAGACTCCGTCTCAAATAAATAAATACACAAATATATAAATATAAATAAAAAATGTGTATCTGTCACCATTTTTTCATAATGTTCTATAAACCCTTATCTATCTAAAAAGGGCATATACAAGAATATTCAGCATAAACAGAAAAAAGCCTAGAGACATTCTGAAGTTTGTCCCTGAGTGAACAGTTAAACAAACTATTACTTATTTGTGCTACAAAATACTCTACAACTGACCCCTACCAAAAAAGAGGTAGCTCAATCTGTACTGAAATGGAAAGCTTCGCTAAGAAATGCCATTAAGTGAAGAAAAGCAAGCTGCAAAATCATACACAGAATGATTCCATTCACTTAAAATACGTCAATAAGACACAAACAAAATCATTTCTAAAAGTATGTATATGTACACACACATGTATATACACATCGATACATACAAATTCAAAGAAAAGACCTGGAAGGATACATGTAAACTGGTAACAACAGTTCCTCTGGGAAGTCCCTAGAAGAAAGGAGATGGTTCATCTCAGGCTTTAGGGTGCGTCCCTGAAGACTATGCCACTGAAGTAAAGGGGCAAGTTGGAAATACTCTGGACCTCCCAGGGACTGAATCCCAGTATGGAGAGTTTAACTCCCTCAATGTGAGGTGCTGGTGCTCTTACTCTTCTTCAAGAAACCAATTAAGGTCCTCTTTAGAGAAACATAATAACATCATATAGAATCCCAAAATTTTCGTATGCAATGACTTTACACTCAATCAAAAATAACTAGGCATACAAGAACTTAATGTGCAATAGAAAATCAAAACAAGAGAAGTAACAGACAACAGAAACAAATATACAGGGATTTCACACAGTGAAGTTATCAACATGAATTCTAAAATAACAGCATGTTTAGGGAAATAAAGGACTAGATTGAGAACTGTAGTCAAGAAGTAGAAGAATCAAACGCAAATTCCAGAATGGAAAAATACAATAACTAAGGTTGGATGGATATATAGTATTTTAAGTAAATATAGCTGAAGAGAGAAATTAGTGCATTAAAAGCCAGGTCAGAATAGCCATAGAAAGGCATAGACAAAATGGACAATTACATAAGAGACCACGTCAAGAACAAAAAGGTCTTCAAAACATGTAACTGGAGTTGTAGACGAGAAGAAGCTGTTTCTTTGGTAGAGGAAGAGGAAGGAAAACAAGGGAGGGAAGGGAAGGAGGGGGACACATAATGGTTAGTTCAAATAACCATTTGAACTAAAAAAGGAATAAAACGTAAGGAGTCACAGATGAAGAGGAAGTAGGACAGCCGTCTATTTTGTTTAATTCTATAGAATATATTCAAAACCTCAAAGAATACACTGGTTCTGAAGACTCTAACAAACAAACAAACAAAAAACAACCCTCAAAGAAATAAACAAAACTTCTGGGCCAGGTGCAGTGGCTCACGCCTATAATCCCAGCACTTTGGGAGGCCGACGTGGGCGGATCACAGGGTCAGGAGTTCAAGACCAGCCGGGCCAACATAGTGGAACCCCGTCTCTACTAAAAAAGACAAAAAATAAGCCAGCTGTGGTGATGGGCGCCTGTAATCTCAGCTACTCAGGAGGCTGAGGCAGGAGAATCGCCTGAACCCGGGAGGCGGAGGTTGCAGTGAGCTGAGATTATGCCACTGTACTCCAGCCCAGGAAATAGTGTGAGACTCTGTCTCAAAAAAAAGAAAAAAGAAAACTTTGGGCCAGGCACAGCTGGCTCATGCCTATAACCCCAGCACTTTGGGAGGTGAGGCAGGTGGATAACCTGAGGTCAGAAGTTTGAGACCAGCCTGACCAACATGGTGAAACCCTATTTTTACTAAAAATACAAAATTAGCTGGGAGTGGTTGTGCATGCCTGTAATCCCAGTTACTTAGGAGGCTGAGGCAGCAGAATTGCTTGAACCTGGGAGGCAGAAGTTGCTGTGAGCCAAGATCACACCACTGCACTCCAGCCTGGGCGACGGAGCAAAACTCCCATCTCCAAAAAGAGAAAAAAGAAAAGAAAACTTCTAAACTTTTTATGAAGTCAGAATCATGTTTATATATATTAAAAAAATCTGTCAAGGATATATGTACACACAAACCTATAGGCCAATTTCCACTTATGAGATCTACACAGAAAACACTAATATTAGCAAAAGGAATCCCCAGCAGCACATTACGACTACATTACAACGCCACAACCAAGGGGAGTCTTTTCAAAGACAATAACTTACCAACTAAGAGGTCAAGGAAGAAAAACCACATGACAATCTCTGTAAGATGTTGAAATCAAATGTAACAGAATCCTACATTCACTTCTAAAAAAATTTTTTTAAGCCAAAGTAAATAACTAGTTCCTTAACATAACTAAAAAATGGTATCTCAAGCAAAAGGCACCATTAATGAAAAAACATTAAAAGTATTCCCATGTATGTCTGTGGCCATTCTTGTTCTTCTCTATCAAAACTATTAAAATTTTTGAGGAAGTACCATAATATAATTAGACAAGTGAAAGAAGTATGAAAATTGGAAAGATCAGATGCAAGTTTTCAAGAAATTAAGAGTCAACTGAAAAATCACTGTAGACAATAATGGTAAGGTGATTGACTATAAAATTAATATAAAAAACAACAAGGGCCGGGCGCGGTGGCTCAAGCCTGTAATCCCAGCACTTTGGGAGGCCGAGACGGGCGGATCACGAGGTCAGGAGATCGAGACCATCCTGGCTAACACGGTGAAACCCCGTCTCTACTAAAAATACAAGAAAATTAGCCGGGCGAGGTGGCGGGCGCCTGTAGTCCCAGCTACTCGGGAGGCTGAGGCAGGAGAATGGCGTGAACCCGGGGGGGCGGAGCTTGCAGTGAGCCGAGATCGCGCCACTGCACTCCAGCCTGGGGCACAGAGCGAGACTCCGTCTCCAAAAAAAAAAAAAAAACAACAAAAAACAACAAGGGTTGGGCATGGTGGCTCACGCCTGTGAGCTCAGCACTTTGGGAGGCTGAGGCAGGCGGATAACTTGAGGTCAGGAGTTAAGAGACCAGCCTGACGAATATGGTGAAACCCCATCTCTACTAAAAACACAAAAATCAGTCGGGCATGGTGGCACACACCTGTAATCCCAGCTACTCGGGAGGCTAAGATAGGAGAATCGCTTAAACTCGGGAGGTTGCAGTGAGCCAAGATTGGGCCACTGCACTCTAGCCCGGGTGATAAAGCGAGACTGTCTTAAAAAAAAAGTAACAAGAACACTTTTACTCTCCACTTTGGAATGAAGCATGGCCTGATGCTAGAGTCACAATAAAGACAACTGAGATCCTTACACTATATTTGTTGTAATTTTGTCCTTTGGCAGGTCTAGCAACCCAAAGGGACAGAGACTGTTGATGATCTTGAGGTAACTCAAGGAACACAGGAAAACGGCTAACTCCCTTTTCTGGAGAGTAATGTTTTCCTCACGGAGCTGCAAGGGTTGGAAGTCCTTCTCAGGCCTGAGCTCTGCTGTCTTTTTAGCACCTGATCTCTTTGACTTTGAGGGTTTCAAGGTTAGGCTGCACTGTGAGAGAGCATTTGACTTTGCAGTACC